GATGGAGTAGGAGTGTGGATCATCAAATATAGGCTGTATCGCTATTTACACATGACCCTGGCTACATGGTGTTTTAATTGTCACTGTAAATGATGTAAATAGAGTCTAGGAATATTTTGAGTAGCAGGTACTTAGAATCTTACAAATATATTGTGTTTGAAGTTTTTTTTCTTCTTCACATTAGGTTGGTAGAGCCAGTAGACTTGGTGAGAGAGGGACTACAATCACTTTCATCAATAATGGCTGCAAATATATCCTTTTATTATTAGTAACAAGCCGCAGTATACATATACAGCAATGAAAGATATAATATCATGTTAAAGACAGCAGTCAACCACAATAAATCAGTGACCATTGGTTTCAAGTTGGCATGGACAACATGTTGACATATTCCTTAACTTATTCACACATATGTTTGCTGATTTGGTGAAGATGCTTGAGTCTCAGCAAGTACCATTGCCAGCACAGCTACTAAATTCACCACATCTTCTGCAGCAGAGAGATAAACGTAAATCACAGCATCAAAGAAAATATACTGTTTATAAAAAACATACAAAACCAAGAGATGATTATAGTGACTCCGATTCTGACTGATCAAGTTTCTACACATTATTATATTTATATTTAACCACAAAAATGAATAAATATCTTTTTCATAAGATACATAATGGCTGACTGAACATGATTATTTTACATTTTGATTCCCACGAATAGCGTGCCTGCTTGACCTGTTATTTGGGATGTGTGCACACCAGCCCAGTTACATGCCTGTTTGCTTTTTCAAGTCTTGCTCTTGAACACATGGAATGGAATCCATACATGTACATCAGAATACAAAAAAAAGAATTAATTTTGCAACATTGTAAGGAGTGAATTTCCAAGCTCTTTGTCCTATAAATGAGTAGAACAAAGATTGTTACAAGTGTGTATAACAAGACCTACTCAGTTTGGACCATTAGTGCTGTGTAATGACATCCCAATAAAAACAAATGAAAGGGGCTTATGAATGAAAATATGCTTGGTATATGACCCATTGATTAAATCTTTCACACTTTGTCTTTTATTGTGTTCATTGTAAACTACAAACATTATGTTATTATACTGTATTTCATGATGGAATAAATTTGTCTATATGCAAATTTATAAATGTATACATTTCAAATAGCATTGAAAAATAAAACGTTACCAATCACATGCCTCAGGTGGATGAATTCCACAGTGGACAATTTATTTTTAACCTCTTCTTTGACACTAGTGCACGTCCCGGAACATAGATAAAATTTGGAAGTTGATATTCTGTGCCAAGTATAGTGGTATTAATTGTACTTGCATTCTTTCTAGCATTTTAA